CCCTCCTTATGCTGGGTCTAGGGCTGATAGTGGCATGTGTCTTTTGGAGGCGTTCATGGAATATGCTTAACTTTTTGACCCTCTGTAGTTCTGCATATTGCTGCACCCTAGTAAAAAAAAGTAATGTAATAAAACACTATGAAAAGATACATATTAGACAGCCAAATAGAACCTTAGTGAGGCTCAGTGCTGGGAACGCTACTCTTGAAATTTGTTTGGGCTAGAACTTGATGACACATAGTGGTGACGCAGGGATGATCTGCTTTTAAACAACTCTTAGCTCAAAAGGGAAAATGCATGTGATGGTTCAGCCCTACCATCAGTGAATGCTTGTTTATCTGATGAACAGTAACTCCCCAAATTTGGTATGATTTCCAATTTGTGCACAAGTGGACTACATTAGTGGCAGTACTGATGCCTAGGATAGAAGCAGGCTGGAAGAGTCGTGAGGGTAGGTAGGAACTGAAATAGCATACCCGGCGGTACGTTAGGATTTAGGCATACTGGTAGATGAGTAGGAGTACAGGACTGGGATACGAAATGGTGCTGCAGCACAGGAATGGGATAGTTTTACCAAGGTCTGGGGCATTTTAGTACTGGACTGTTTATGCACCTCACTGGAGAACAGTCATTCACTGACGCGAGTAACGCTGTCTCGTTCTGTGGCTTCCAGCACCTGGGAAAATGTGAGTTCTCTTCTGATTCAATCACACACTTCCTGGGTGGTTTCTTTTTTGGGTCGCTGAGAAGAGCTTTGGGTTTAAAGTTGAAATAAAAATGGCCTGAATCTATATAAACCTCCAAGGAAATAGTTTACTTGGAAGCTGCTGGCTTGTATGCCAAGTCTCCATTTTAAAGCATGTCGGGAAAAATCCCAGTAAGAAATGCTTGTGTCCACATCATAAAAAGCACCCTTATAATTGACAACCTCTCTGGCAGGCTCAATGGACCCACCACAGCTTGGTGGGCATGGAGACTGATTGCCCTTCTCGAGCCTATATGTGTTCCCTCCAGTCAGAGCTGGGCAATGTGTTGTGGGGGTGGAGCTTCCACAGCAGCTGCCCATGTGATTCGTGTTTTGCGAATAAGCAGATGACTTCATAGCCCCAGCTCTCAGGCTGGTACCTTCCACCAGCAGTTTACAGAAGCAAAATAAAGATGTTGAGTGTGTATGCCTTCTCTGGGCTGGGATGCTCAAAGGGAGGTGCACCGAGACCTAGATCCTCAAAGGTAGATAGGTGCCTAGTTCCCATTGAAATCAGTGGGAATTGGGCACCCAACTCTCAGTGAGGCTCTGGGCCTGAGCTCCCTGAGGAAGTGAGAGCTTCCAAAACTTAATCACAATCCCCAAATTGCTGCTCATGCCCCTGTTCCAAATGCTTTCAAACGACAGCCTAAAGGCTGTGTTAATGTGTCAATTAAATTTGCTTCTTGGCTAAAAAGCAAGAAAACAATGCCTGGGGCCAGAAGCATGGAGCAGCCTAGGGAATCTCGCTTTGGCAGGGTCCCTAGCTGCAGAGATGCGTGTGTTTTTTTTTTTTTTTTTGCCAAAACTTTTTAAAACCATGTCTATGTAGATAGTTATATGTTGGAGGTCACTCCACACCAGATTAGAATGGTTATGTGGGGTGTGTGGGTAACTCTCCGTCTTGAACTACTTCACATCACAAATTTATCTTAACATCTGCTGCCCACCCCAGAAAGCCCAAGGGACAGATGGCTGAATGAACCTGCTGTGACATCAAAGGTAGCAGTTAGCCAGAGAAGCACTTTAAGAACATTCATGAATTACCCGTCAACAGGCATGCAAGCACTATGAGCCCCATTTTACAGACAGTAACTTGTGCTGAGGTCACATGGGCAGTTTGGGGCTGTATCGGAAGGTTGCCCTTTCAAGGAGTCAAATGCCTAGTCTGTGATTGGCTCCATTGAAGGGAATGGGCCAACCCAGGTCTGCCTGGGGCTATCTAGCTGGCTGAGTAGCTGGAAGGCAGTTAAATGAGGTGCACCTGAGCCTACTCAAAGGCTTTGGAGAGATCAGCTGGAAACAAGCTCCTGAGGAGAAAGGATGCTTCTGAGCAGGGACACTCCTAAGGAGCCTTCGCTAGGCAAAAGCTTTCTGGGTAAGGAGACCTGGGAGAGACGCTGAAAAAGCAGGAGAGAGACTGTAGAAGCTCTCCAGGCAGGGAGGCCTGGGAGAGACCCTGAACAAACTGTGGGAGGGGAGGGGGAAAGATTACAGAGCTCTCCAGGAACCGGAGACGCCTGAGGCCTTACAGCAAAAATTAGAGACCTTTTGTTTTGGGACTTTTAATTTTTATGTGAACTCTGAGTTAAAAGCCTTGACGCCCTTGTACAAGTGCCCCCTTTCAGACGGTTTTCTTGAAGGGATATAGCGGACTATAGAGTGTTTGGCTTTTCCTTGACTGGGCTGTTTATGTTACCTCGTTGCCCCATTAAGGAGAATCTGAGGCAGGCTACAGCAGAGTTTCACTGACCTGCAAGGGGATGCTTGTGAGGAGACAGAGCCCCTACTACAGGTTGAACCCACATCTCCTGACTCCCAGTGAGAAGAGTGGCCGCACATTGAGATGAGGGTGACCGTCTGCCCTACAGGGCTGAACTTTGCCTTCATAGTACCCTAGCCTTGATGGACTCAGGGACCAAGAGACTAGATTTGGGAATGGGTTTGCCATGTGGTAAAAGTGTAGGGTATTAGCTGTTATGGTCCTAGGTCAGCTGGCTGCTGTTTTTTGTGCACATCAGCAGTCTGTAGGAGAAATCCGAGTCCCCAGACTGCTTCATTTTCTGTATGACGGTTGAGATGTTTGATAGAAAAAAGCTGCAATGACGATTCCTCATGTTCCTTCAGCCTTTTCCTTCTCTAGCCCTTCTCCAAAGCAGCTTGTACTGCAGCAAAGGAAAACTGGGGTATATACTTTGATCTATGAACAAGCGGGGTGGGATCCATTAGTAAGTAAGAGAACAGAGAGAATGCTCTGAGGGGTTGGATTCAAATTGCAAATCAAAGGAAGCATGAAAGAGCAGACTCTCCCCACATAGGTTTGGCAATGGCAAGCCTGCTGGTTTCTTTTTGTGATTGAAAACTGCTGCTGCATTCTGTGTGTATTCCCTTGGTGGAAAAGCAGTTGCAACACACCGGAACCATAATAGCTTAAAACTGTATCTCGCAACGATCAGCTCAACACAAACTTGGCATTCCCATTTTTATATTACAAATTTTTTTTATTGAGATGATGTAATTACAGGCATTTTTAAAAATTATTTGCAACTCACTGGCCCTGAGAATAGGCGTTTGTTTGTTTTTGTTTTTGTTTTTACATTCATTTGATTCAGTCCCTTAACCCCACACTTTTTTTTTTTTTTTTAAAAAGCCCTCAATAAAAACAGAGTAGGATTCATTTAAAAAAATGCATTCTGGATTTGCACATGGTTGCAGTCATATAAAGAGAAATCATGAAGAATGCATGCTCCATATTTATCTGAGATCGGGGATGGTTGCAGTTACTTAGTGTTTATGCAGGTGGCCCTAATAGTGTTTTCTCAATGGATAGTCCTCACAAGATTTGAGACTTTAACTGAGAAAAGGTTTCCTTATTGGCTTACAGATCTGCCATCTGTCCCGCCCAAGCAGCATTGTCCCCCTTCTGTTTGCAGAAGGGTCTGGCTTGTACAGATTTGTAGCAGGGGAGAGGCCCTGTTTAGTCACATTATTTGAAGAAAAGGCCCATCACCCAGTGGTTAAGGGGTTCCTTAAAATCTTTCTCCTTTTTCCAATTTCCTTTTAGGGAGTGGGCAGAAAGTAGGGCTATGTGGCAGTTGGCAAATCCTACACTGGGAATTCAGGGGCTGAGGGAGGTGAAAAGGGCGAAATTTTCCTTGATAGCCACGCTTCCAAAAATGGAAGCCATATGGAGTGTTGGTAAAACACTACTGAACTATCAGTATAAATGGGATATGGATCCCTCTGCAAGACAGGAGGGAATCCATTTCCTACGGTTGCTGTAGAAGTCTTTTTCTAACAAATTGGCCCCCAAGATACTAAGGACTCCTCAAATTCAGATATTGCAAGTCTCTTCGGTCATACGCTCCAGCTCTTGGCACTTGCTCTACCACTCCCTAAACCATTTAGATCTTATCTGAAAAGTTCACTATGCTAAGGGCTTGCTGTGCATCCAAAGACTACTTTCATTCTTACTGGTGTATCTGTGTGGGTCTTCCTTGGCAAAGTTATCCTTCATTAAGGATGTGATGGAGGAAGTGGACTCTGAAAGGGGATGGGTGGGTCACATGCCATAGTTCTGTGGTGAAAGAAAATTCCCAACGTTCACAACACCAGTAAAGGGGTGGAAGGTAAGGAATCCTGAACTCACACCTATTTGTCCCAGGGTGAAATTTCACAGAAGTTTTTGCCTTTGACAATAATTGGTAACTGACACCTGCAGAGACCAAGAAATAATCCAGATTGCAAAATATTTGAGCTATGTTTCCACCAGTAAGGAAACATAGCTCAAATATTTTGCAATCTGGATTATTTCTTGGTCTCTGCAGGTGTCAGTTACCAATTATTGTCAAAGGCAAAAACTTCTCTGTGAAATTTCACCCTGGGACAAATAGGTGTGAGTTCAGGATTCCTTACCTTCCACCCCTTTACCAGCCCCATGATGACATTTCACCATGTTTGCCACCACAAGTGGCAAGGGTGTGAGGACCAAATTGGCAAACTCCTCAGCACATGAATACCAACACTACAAAAAAAGCCCTTTAAATACAAAAGTTGTCCTCCTCCTCCTTCTCCCAACCATGTAGTTGGAGCAGAGGAAATGAACGATGGTCATGGCCAGAGTACCAAGTGATACAAATAGCAAACTTTCTTTCTACCATCTGAAAATAGAAAGAAAACAAGTGAAGAGTAAGGAATTTCCTTTAAATCTGATGCCCTTTTGATGTTTCCCTCTCCATTTCTCAGTCGCAGTCTTCCCCCCCCCCCCTTTTTTTTTGTCTTGCGTTTTCTTGGTTAGATGTTTGCCAGCTCTGTGTGCTATGGCTAAAGCCAGAGGGTATTTGCCCTCATAACCTAAGCACAAGCCTGAGCTCCTGAGAAGGGACTGCCACTTGTCTCCTTGAACAGGGTCACGTTTTTTAGCTAAAATCAAACAAAAACAGCTCCCTCTCCCTTCAGTTTCAGGTCCATGGCCACAAAGCCAGAATTTCTCAGCACCTCCCCCTCTGACCCTTTGCGTATTCAAGGGTTTCAGAGCCACCTCAAGGACTGATGGGGTGGTGATCTTCTCTTTTGCTGATATTTGCTGCTGCTGTTCTTTGATGCAGGAAAAAGTCAAATACCCAGCGTGTTGCAATCTGTAAGCACATCCACTAAGAGTATGGAAAAAAACAGTTCATTATGTGGCTGGATAAAGCTTGAGGGGAAGATGTATTGCCAGTCTTTCTTCATGTGAAACCAACTGGGAAGGGTTTGTTCTCATTCCAGGATGTGGCACTCTATGCCCATTTAAAAACCCCTTCACTCTGCCATACGTGACTCAGTGCACCTTGCAGTGAAACTGGACTGCAGTTACTTAAATATACAGGGTACCACACCTAACCAAATGGAAAGCTTTCTGGATAGCAACATTCCTGTTCAATATTTGGTTAAGATCAGGTGTTGTATCTGGGCTTTTTGGTAAGATAGATTTAATGATCCCTTGATTTCTTCCATTTCAGACTCCTATGATCTACAAAAGGGATTTTATTAATGAACAGACACAGGCTTCCTTTCCTTTGGACATCACATGATGCCTGTGCAGAGAAACTCCAATCTCCTTGTCGAAATATTACTTGATCTTCTCCTTTCCCAAATGCATATTTTGCGGCTAGATTTTTTCCTTGACTATCAAGGGATGGCTGATGATGGGTCCATCACTTGTCCTGAAACCACTGATTCTCATCTCTGCAGGGACCAACCAATGTACGATTACAAAGGGAAATAGTTTTTCCAGTCTCCAACATAAAAGTCCATACCGTTGAAAGGACCATTGCTCCTGCTGAGCCCTTCCTTGCCAGCAATCTAGGCAAGGTTCTCTGTTCCACCAGTAGTAGGCAGCAGTCAAAGCTGCTCTTGCCCTAAAGACTGCACACCAAACTGGGACTGCCAAAACCAGAATATCTTAAAATTAAAAGGACAAGAATGCAATGAGGTTGTTTTTTTTTTTTTTAAATAAACAATGCTAAAAATGGGTAAGCTGAGAAGTGATCTCTGGCTGGTAGAGCTGCCTTTGGGAGGAGTGGGGTAGGAAGTGGGAGGCATCAAATAACCAGTTTCAGGATACCAGTATAGCTATTTGGTCTCTGGTTGTCTACCACATATCTTCATGCTTCTGATTTCACTTTCTCTCCAGCAGTGCCAGCTGTCCTGGGGAGGCGCCTGAGTATTATAAGCAATTGTATCTTCATCTTTTTCCTTCCCCTTAAGATGTAAAAACAGCCCTTCACCTCTACCCCAAAAACTGCTAGCTGCTGTGGAAATCGCAACAACTTGTAATCACAAATACTTCAACCCTTGCTTTTTGATAGAAGACTTGGACCAGAAAGTCCACAGTGTTTGTCACTTCTATTCAAAATCTTCTTTGCTAGAGACAAAACACAATAGACGGATGCTGGCTTTCGCTCTGTCTCAGGTTTTTCTTGTTTTCCTGCCCCCCCACCCAGCACTTGGATGATTTGGTCCATGTGCCAGCAGTTAATAGCAGCCCATTACCAGCCCAACATACGCTGGTAAGGTGTCCCAGGCTTGTAGCAAAAGATGACTTTTTTTTTTCCCCCTTCAATTAGCAGGTGGGTGTGTGGATATATGTAAATTTTCTTGGTAGCTTGAGACCTTCCTTGGGCCAACATGAGCAAATGTGATCTCGGCAAACGGAACCAGCAGGGTGACCCCTTCTGTGCCATGGTCACCATAGTTTTGATACCACGTTATGTTGTGAGACTTGCACAGAAAATAATAGCGCGCCATTTATTTCCATGGGAAAGCCTTCTTAAAAAGTAAAACCTGGTGTCTTGTCCTATATGAATTAAGAAAAGTCAAACTGCATATTTATTAGGAAAGAATGAAACAAACTAACAGAAGGAAAATAAAAACAAGTCAAGGGAGACTCGTCAGGGGCAACGGAGTAGTGCATGAGTCCAGGCTCTCTCTCCTCCGCCTTGCTGCCGCCACCACCTCTGCCAGTTTTTATTTTTACTAAGGTGCTTTGGGTCCTGCGTGGTCTTCAAGGTAAGCGCTGACCCCATATTCTCCTCCTGTGTTCTTGTTCCCCCTCCCAAACTCCTCCAGCCATCCAGGCAGACATGTCTCCCATGGAGGTGGTGTGTGTTGGTTCCTTCAGCACTCCTCCTCTTGATATATTTGTTCATCCAGTTCCTGGGACTCAAGGTGTTCAAGGCGGTCTGTTCGGCCACTCATAATCTCATCTGGGGTCTTCATGAACCTTCAAAACAAAGTGACAAGTCAATCACTGGCTTTCCCCCCTTAACCCATACTATGAGCCTGTTTCCTTGGCTCCTGAGTATCCCTAATACCCTGCCACAGCATCTCCCTAGTGACTCTGACCCAGATCCTCAAAAGTATTTAGATGCCTAATTTCCACTGAAATCAATGGACATTATCCTCAAAGGTATGTAAGAGTTTCTGTGCTTCCTTCCTAGGTATTTCCCCCCGCCCCCCAGCACGCTAGTGTTTTCTGCATGCCCTGGCAACCCCAGATGCTGATGGGCTTCCCTAGAACACAATCAGAAAAGCATTTTAATTACCCATTGGTTGAAGTACACTATTTGGATACAAAGGCAGGCACACACGAAAACAAGAGGAGAAGCCAACTGTACTGAGTGGGGTGTCTAGCTCCATGCCTACTCTGCTCAGTATCTCAAGAAGGGGGGAGATGGGCATAGCCTCAGACCTCATCTTCCCTCACTGGCCTGCAGCAGTGCATAGGAGTCTCTCACATGGACTCTCACTCAGACCTTCGGTCAAATACACCTGTTGCCAGAGCAGTGAATGGGCTGAGAGCCTAGTGTCTCTCTTAGTGCAAGTAGGGGGGTAGTGGGCTGGGAACAACAGGTATGTATGCAGTGGAGCTGTAATTTCCAGCTCAGGTAGATATCCTTGCCCTAGCTTTGATAGCTGGCATACTAAAAATAACATTGTGGCCCTGGCAGCATGGGTGATAGGACAGGCTAGTTAAGAACCTCCGTATATACGCGGGCAGCTAGCTCACCTCCTCAGCTGCACTGCTGTGGCTACGGTGTTATTTTTTAGCATGGTAGCTTGATCACAACTAGTGTACATGCGTATGCTGGCCTGAGCTTGAAACTACCTCTTCAGTGCAGCGGTATCCAGAGAAAAGCTGTGGGCACACGACAACAGCAGGAACGGGGGGAGGACACATTCTAGTTTTTTAATATCCACTTCAGTTATGACAATCTCTCTACACTTTTTCATGTGTATAGCTATAGATAGGTCTATATAAACATGACATTAAGACTCTGATTTTGCCTTCTGAACTAGATGAAATGGGAAGAGAAAGTGGCCCAGAGATGAGAAAACGCTAGTTTAAGCATAAACCACCCTCCTAATTAATAGCGTTACAAAAGTTGGGACAAATCATGTATGAGGTTTGTCTAGACTGGGTGCAGTGAAACATTTTCCACAGAATGAAACTCCCTTGCAAGTGACTTATTGTCTAACACAGCGCAGCCCCTAATTTATGAATCTGAGGGGTCAGTTTTATTTAACCCCAAATATGTGCTCAGTAGCCTCATCCAGTGAAAACAAAACCAACTGTTGGCAAGCATGTAAAAAATCCTGATCCAGAAAAAATGCCCACTGAAGTTAAAGGAAAAGATGTGATGACTCCTCTCCCTGTGAGATTATAAAACTTGGGCCTTTTATTTTGGGTGCTGGAAAAATCTGGAGTCTCTCAGCAAATGTACACTTGCTACGCCTTCTAATGTGGAATTTTATGTATGCACTAGAAAGAAAACAACAGGACTGATTCAACCCTGTGCTACTCCCATTTTATGCTGGAGTAACTCCACTGTTATGAATTGAGTTACAAAACTGGAGTGGGGAGGTAGTGACGCAGGCCTTATATTTACAAGGAAAACTCACTAAAGACTGGGGCCAGATTCTGCCCTAATTTCTGCCCCATACCAGTCCATTGAGTTTAATGATCTTGCATGAGGGTTAAGTCAAACCAAGATCCTGTATTTTTCCCTCCACCCCAACCCCTCTCACCTTCTGTCTATTCTATCTTCTAAAAGACAGGATTCCACATGTATTTACAGGTTACAGCAAATTGCACTGCTACACTTTAAGATATTAGTTCTGATGTTTCTTAAATTATTCCAAAAGCACCAGCACCTATTCACAGGGGGCCTTTTATAGCATTTGTAATCTAAATAAATAAAATAGTAAGTAAATGCTGGTGAATTAAGCAAGGCCAAGCATCAGCACAGACCTCTTGTGCTACAGAAAACACTCAGCCCCTCCATTATAGATCTCTTTCTACCGCCATCTTGCCCTCTGTTAGGAACTCTGCATGGTGGTTTTAAGACAACTGCCTGCATGTTATTCACAAAGTCACATTCCCCATTATTTTACATTGATGTGAAAAAAACATGAATGGGGTGACTTTCTACAGCTGCTCTTTTTCTCTTTCAATATTAACAGGGTTAGCTAAAAACATTAATTGTTCATTGGAAAGTTTGCAATTTTAAAAAACTTTCTCATCAGAAATTGAAATGACAATTGATTCCCCCCCCCTTTACTCCCTTTTTTTATTTGTCCTTTTTTATATTAAAAAAAATTACCAAATCAAAAAATGTCCATGAACCTTTTCCCTCAAAAGTGTTTTCAATGTAAATATTTTGACTGGCTCTAGTTATTTCTTTTTCCATACCATGCTAAGAAGCCCCAAACAAAACCCTGTCTTCCAGTTAAAATGAGTGTTAGCTGAGGCCCAGATCCAAAATCCATTGATGTCAAAGGAGAGACTCCAAATGGCTTCAGGGTGCTTTGCATCAGACTCTAAAGTGGGATCAGTTTCCAGTGATCCTGCCTCACTAGATGCAGAGCTCCTCCTAGAGATTGACAAATTACAGACATATACACACTCTACTTCTCTGTTTCCCACTGTCTAGAACAGTGGTTCCCAAACACTGGGATGTATTGCCAATACTGGTACTTCAGGTTTTGTGAATGGCTCACCTAACTTTCCCCTTTCCTCTATGTTGGGTCTCATTCCACGACCACTGCACACCTCCCGTTCCACAGTACATGTTCTAAACCCTGCTGGAGTCCAGGGAACTCCAAACCTCAGCTGAGTGATGACAAGATGGGGGTTTGGAGTAGCTCAAGAGCCAATATGGTGAGCTCAAGAGACGTGGGTTTAAATCAAGCACTGCTGTGACTTAGATTGTGAAACCAAATGGGAGGCGCACAATTGAGGTCTTAAAGCCTGATCCAATGTCCACTAGAGTCAATGGAATGACTCCAGTGAGCACTACATCAGGCTCTTTGTCTGGTGCATTGGTACAGCCCCCCCGAAGGCGTGGGAGGCTCTTTCAGCTTTATATCCATTGACAAGCGTGCTACGCAGCTGGTAGTGGAGTGGCTTTCCCAAAACTTCTTCCTGCCATCCTTGCAAAGAAATCACCTCAAGCAGAGAAGGGGGAAGAAAAGAAGGGGAAGAATTACCTGAACAAAAGCCTTTGTCCTGGCTCCTTCCGGATGATATTTAGTTTGTAGTAGTGGCGTAGGGCTCTGGACATTTTCTCATAAGTCATATTTGTTCTGTTCTGTTTGTTCCAAAAGAAAAGCAGTGAGAGGCAATTCAATACACCCTTCCTAAAGCTTTGGAAACAGCTATAGACATAGCACAGCTAGGTGAAGTGACTATGCTAGTTAAAGAAGCTACCTGCTCTGATCCTCTGCTGTTTGTAGGCCCATCCTGCCTCTCTGGCATTCTATGGTTTTCTTTTCACACCGTGTGATTTGAATGAGGGTGGCTTCCAAAAATGGGGGGAGATTATTTTAAATAGGTCACATCGGTCTGTGCTCAACAAAGGCCTTCATCACCAGAAGAGACTTCAACATGAAAGAGAGTATCACCCCACGTAGGACTTATTTTCAATGAATGACCTTTTGTAAAAGCTTGTAAACAGCTAATGAACTTTATTTGACAGCTCTCCTTCCTGTCAAAGGTGGTGCTCTTCTGGGCTTCCCCTCCATGAATTAGTTAATGTTTACACAGCACTTTGAAGCTCTAGAGCCTGTTTCTCCTCTCATGTTTTCTCTGGTGTAGATCAGGAATAATTCCATTAACATGTACATCTGTTTACATTGCAAAGCCCCTCCCCCCCCCACGCACACACACTTTGGCACACTGGGAAGCTCTTGCTCAGGAGAGGCCCATAACTGGAACAGTAGGAGGTGCATTGGCAGTGTGTCAGAGGTCCGAAATAAGATATGCTGGCACAGCTGTGTGTGGGAAGCTTGCGCAGTGCTTGCCTGTTCTATGCCTGACGTGAGCGTTTACCATCAGTCTCTTACTTAACTGAGCCGAGATCCCTCACTCTGGTTTTGTTTTCCAAAAGGCCCCCTGCTTGAGAACGAGACCCCTTTTGTTTACCCGTCCCACTGAGAGCTATGGCTGGCTCAGTGATGTTTTAGGGAAGGCTCCAGTGGCAAATGAGAGAGTGAGAATGGCAGTGATCTACCTGGAGAAGCTGGGTTTTGTTCACGCAAGCCCTTCTGCAGCCAGCAGGCTCACATTCTCCAGCAGAAGTGTCTATTCTCCAAAGCCTGCCTATGCTGTAAGGCCAAGATTTTCAAAAGTGGCCTATCAGACAGTGGGTGCTCAATGCGTTCTGAAAATCAGGCCCCTTTAAGGTATCACAAAGTTGGGCACCTAAAACTGAGGCACCCAAATCTCCAGTCACTTCTCTGCAATTGCAGCCTATGTAACAGAAATGTAGCAGTGCACCAACACCAGATTTCTCCTGCTTGGCAGCATTTGCTTTAAATCAGTGGTCTTCAACCTTTTTACCCTCAAGATCACTTTTTGAATGTAAGGGCAACGCAGGATCTGCCCTGCCCCACTCAGTCCATCCCCCCTCTCTCCGTCGCTCGCTCTCCCCCACCCTCACTCACTTTCACCAGGGGGGTTGGGGTTCAGGAGGAAGTGTGTGCTCCAGGCTGGGGCCAATGGGTTTGCAGTGTGGGAGGAGGCTCTGGGCTAAGCCTGGGGCAGGGGTTGAGGTACAGGAGGGGGTGAGGGGTGCAAGATCTGTGAGGGTGTTTGGATGCAGGAGAGGGCTCCGGGCTGGGGCGGAGTGTTGGGGTGCAGGAGGGGATGTCTGCTCTGGGAGGGGGGTCAGGGCTCAGGCAGGGGGTTGGGGTACAGGAGAGATTATGGGGTGCTGGCTCTGGGAGGGGGGTCAGAGGGTTGGGGTGCAGGAGGGGGTTTGGGGTGCTAGTTCTGGGAGGGGGCTTAGGGCTGGGGCAGGGACTTGGGGTTCAGGAGGGGGTTGGGGTGCAGAAGGGGGTATGGGGTGCTGACTCTGGGAGGGGGCTCACGGCTGTGGGTTGGGATGTGGCCTCCTGCTGGGTGGCACTTACCGCAGGCAGCTCCCGGGTGGTGGTGCAGCGAGGCTAAAGCAGGCTCCTTGCCTGCCCCGGCCCCACACTGCTCCCGGAAGGGGCCAACATGTCTCTACAGCCCCAGGGAGGGCGGACAGTGGGGATGTAGCTCTGCGCGCTGCTCTTCTCTGCAGACACTGCCCCCAAAGCTCCCATTGGCCACAGTTCCCCATTCCCAGCCAATGGGAGCTGCGGAGGCGATGCTTGCAGGCAGGAGCAGGGTGCGGAGACCCCTGCCCCTCCTTCCCCCCCCAAGTAGAGATTTCTATTAAATTGTTACCCTATGGTTTTCCTAAGAAAGCTCAATACCAGAGACATTATGGCCCCTTCCAGTCACCATGCTAGCTAGCCTGAGCACCCAGTAGCATGAGACCTAAGGAGACAGGAGATACCCTCAGAGAGCAGAACTATTACAACCTGTATCCATATCATTTTCTGGCTAAATGTCTTTATCCACAAACTACCAGGCTCTTTATATAATGCCTGGCTTTCTGTGGTCCCTGCTGATGAAGGTTGGATGCTTTAGATATGCAAAGTGATACAAATAGAATGAAAGATTAAACCTTTCCATAAGTATTTTACTTTCTGTTTCTCTCTTTAATGTTTCTGGATGAACTCCAGAATGTTACAAATGGCAACATTCCCTGGGAGGAAAACCCCACCGCTCTTTACCTTGTGGTTTCCCCACAGCCGGGCCAGCCCGTTGGGATCCACTATCCGAAATATTTTGGATTCCTTGTCCTCCCATCGGATGAAGTTTTCGTACCGGCTGTCAGAAAGCAGCTGATAGACGTAATCCCAAAGCAGCCTGCAGTCTGTGAAGAGAAGGGCAAGAAAACATCATTCAAATACTTCTAACAGGGATGAATTTCGGGAGCTAGCAGATCAGCTTGCAGTGAAAAGACGGTGACCTCAGTTATGGCTTCATTTCTCAGCCTTAGATGCCCTTAGGATGAAGCAAGCCAGTAGCAACCTGAAGTAAAGGCCTGGGATAGACGCTTTTGCCACTGGTGGGACTCTCTTGCCGATCAATAATGATTGACAGTCATTACCAGCTCACAGCCTGTGTGAAATGAGAGCCTGGTCTCAGTCCTATTTCACATAGAGAAGTACCCGTACAACAATAACCACTCACACAATTAGCCTTAACTGACTCCTTTGTTGGCTGTCTCTTTAGAGAAGCCAAGGAACCTGCAGCCCTGGAGACTAAACTGTCTCCCTGCTCCGGGTGGTCACTGCAGGTCAGTGCTAAAGCACACTGGTAGAAGCGTGCACGGTATACCTTTCCTATATAACAGAAGGTTTTGGTGTTCTATATTATGAAAGCTGACACCTTTCACCAGTTCTAAATGTGCTTTTTAAAAAAACAAGCAACTGGAAAGAAAACCAAAGTACTATAATTATGTGAGATCTAGCAAGAGGTTAAATATCTTCTATTTGGACAATTGAATTAAAATTCCCTCCTGGCAAACACTCCTTAGGTCACTAACAGATATTCAGGTTTTAGCTTGATGTTTTGAGGCAGTCTCTTGTGGCAGAAGATGCCAAGAGGCTGAGCTGCTCCCCCTTGTTCCTTGAGATGTGTATGTGGCACACACGTACAGCATGATAACAAGCAACTGTGAATTATGGATTCACAGTTCCCTGGATGGTCCTGCTGATATATCACAAACCACAAGAGTGCAGGCAGAACCCGAAGATGGCCTCATATTTGCCTTTTATCATGAAGGCAAAAGAAAAGCACGTCTTCCCCAACAAACCAATGAGAGACAACATGGCCAAATGGCTAAAACATAGAGTGAGGCATCAAGAGAGCTGCGTTCTAGACCCAGTGCTACCAGTAGCTCATTTCAGCATGTCACTCTGCTCCTCTTTGCCTTGGTTACTTTCACCATCTGTTAAAATGGGGATGACGATCATAATATGTAGAGCGGGAGAACTTAAAATGGGGGCATTACTAATACATGTGAGTTATGTTAAAATGTCTAGAGGTATTTTAGTAGTATTTCCCATTTTAGAAATGTAGGGAACATCTCCGAAACCTGTACTAGCTCTAAAACTGGAATTAACGTTGCTGGTGCACCCTCTGTAACCTGCCTCATAGGGGATGCTGTGAGGAACAAAGCCATGCACTCAGAACTAGCTACGTTTCACACAAATGGCAGCTGCTACTTAGTAAAACTAGTCCCCACAAGCACAGCACCTTGGTGCGCCTCTCTCTTCACTAAATACAGCATTCAATTCAAGGTCTGTCTGCCCTCCATGGGATTAGCCCTGCCTGAGAGGTTGACTCTCCTTCTGTGACCATGCCTTCCAGAACTGGTATTTAGCACTAGAACGAATCAACCTAGCATGCTGACTGCTACAACGAGGCTTGTAAATGTGGGGCAGAGGTGGTTGAAAATTTTCCATCCAAGGTTTTTTTGTGGGTGGAAAATAGCTTTTTAAAAAAATATGATTAATTTTTATTAGCAGAAAATTCTTCATTCCATTTGAAATTTTCTGGTGTTTGATTAAAAACCATAATTCCATTTTTCATTAAAAACTGGAGTATTTTTCCAGAAAATTTCAGAGGGGAAAAAACCCTAAAGGGTTTTTCCTAATTTCCCACACAGAGCAACTAGCACGCTCTGTTTTGCATAACATGGACCTCTGAAACTCACTCTCACTGGAGGTAAGAGCAAGCTGCAGGCCTCCCGGCATTCACAAATATGATACTTAAATGGGATCCATCTCTGTAGTATCTGACCACCTCACAATCTTTAACATATTTACCCTTGCATTCCCCCGTGAGGCAGGGCAGTGCTATTATTCCTATTTTTACAGATGGACAACTGAGGCACAGACAGACTCAGGCCTCTATCCACAAAGATACTTACTGCCTCCTCCTCTGACTGTTTTGTGTGGCGTGAGGTAGGTTCCTAACTCATTCTGGTAAGAAACACCATAGGTGCCTAAGCTGCCAGGTTGCTGGTTCCCGTTCGTGGATCGCTAAACAGAAATAGGCACCTCTCTGCAGCCTGGATTTAGGTGCCTAACTCCAAGAGAGATCCAGGGCTTAAGCCACACCTGTCATTTCCCACTGGCTGGCTTAGCCTGCCTACTATGCTGGCTTTGTGGAGTGCATGCTAAGGCACCTATCTCCGCCCATTCATTGTCTAGGGAGCGTAGATGGATCAGTGTTGTGTTGTTCCTGTGATTTTTCTAGGCGCCAAAATGCTCAATGTGCAATGCTTCATTCCCTTTGTGGATCCCATCTTAAGTGACTTCCGGGAGGTCATAGAGGAAGTCTGTGGCTGAGCAGAGAATTGAATCTTAGCTGCTCAAATCCTAGGTTAGCACCATAACTACTGCACGATCCTTCCACTCATGAACGGATCACAGAATCCAGTACATCAAGTACCTTTTTTGTCAAAATCGCTTCACATGCCAGCCTCACCCTCTTACATTTACAATTTTTTTTTACATGTCAGTAAATTAAACTGCCTATTCCAGTTTTCTCCTGCAGGCAATGAAGGAAGAAAAATTCTGTTTTTGACTTTGTTTGGTTTTGGTAATTATTTGGGAGGTGCTTGTTCATAAAACAATGGAGGGCCATGTAAGTACCTAAAGAGACAGATAATTTATTACTATTTATGAAAAACGTTGAGCTCTTTCAGTGGAAGGCACTATGGCAAAACAAATGTTAAAATACAGGAATCCTAATCTAAAAAAAAATCTCCCTCCCCCACCCTGTTTCTTCTCTCCGTTTCTTCCACTCCCCTCCTGGCCCTCATCTTCCAGAGCATTGTTTTCACCCTTGTTTGATCATTCATGAATATAATGTTCCAACCTGTGAACTACCAATTTTTTTTCTATATGGGCTGTGGTATGTTTAGCAATGCAACTTGCATAGTCCCTTTTACACTAACTGAAATGTATGCACATGTGTTGCAGGATGAAAATACACCTGCGCCTAACAGGAAGCTTTCGAAAAGGTAGTAGCTAGTGGCGCATGCTGAGGCTAGACTCGGCATTGGCCTAACTCTGCTCCCACTGAAGTCAATGGAAGTGAACTTAGATCACATTCAGCACTTCTGAAAATTCTACCCTGAAGCTGTACAGCCAAGTACTCTTTTCTTAGTCATATACTAGAGTGGAATAATCTACACTGTTGCAAGAATTACTGAAGAGGCAAAACCTTTATCCCTGAATCCAATATGCTGGGATAATTTCAGTCTGTTTTGTTCTTTTCAGGAAGATTGGGATAGGGCACATGCACCGGAATGAGTGTGCAGTACATTACCACTTCTCTGCTTTGACAAACTCTGATTACAGACCTTATGATTAATATTTATATGACTCTGTTGACCTTTGGCTGACCCAAACTTTTACATATAATCTTGGTTTACCTTTTTGTGTCCTTTAGAATCTCTGATACTGGGCACTTCTATTTTCCGAATAATTTTGAGTGGGCACAGACTTCAGGTATCTTGAACAGCATTGATTATATACATCTTTCATTTATGGGATGTATGATAGTAGGCTAACAAGTGGTATGTTGGCACAGTTTTGCTTTCTAATTTCTTCTCTTTTATATGAATAAACATATATGGCCAACACTTGCTTCTATTGAAGTTAAGGGGAAAACTCCATTGTCTTAAATACAAAGGACTGGGCCTCAAAGAAGGTTTTTAACTCTCCCGTCCCTCTGAACTACATGGCAAGGTAATTAAGAAATCAGGTAATTACCAGGGTAATTAAGACAAACTAGCTTTACAGATGGAGTTATATGACCATGGTTTATTTTTATAAAATCTATAACATTTCTCCAAAAGTGCTTTTCTGTACAAGTGACATTAAAAATGATGTTACAGTATAAAGTTTTTAACTGGGAACGGCTTAGAATGATTTACATAGCTCACCCATGGCTCTGACACACAGGCTTATTGTAGCAATCCCAGTAAAAGCTTTGTACCACATATATTCTCTTGATCGGAGTTCTGTTCATAGTTCTGCCATAGACTTCCATTGTGACCCTCAGCAAGTCACCTATCCTATCTGTTGCCTCATTATTCACATCTCCAATATGGGGATGATAATATTTCCCTGCCTTGTAAGTTTAATTAATTAATGTTTGTAGCTCCTCAAATGGAAGCCATTGTTGAAGTACAGAAGTAGACTATAGCTCTCTGTACAGTTGTAATATTATCTAGCTATATCTCTGCCTGTATGTATTTCTGGATATATGCGTGAATGAGTTGTGAGATGTAAACTGCTCCTAAAATCTATTGAGAGCTGATAGCAATGCCAGCTAGTGTCCCTTAGATTTGCAATAAGTTTTCATATTGTACCTAAAACTTGAGCGTCATGGCAATTTGTGCATTCTGAATGTATGGTCAGCCTTGACCAGAGAACACTCGGCGTTGAAGGTTGTAACGTATGATATTGGAAAGGGACTTTTGTGTGAATTCCTCAAATGGTAGCATATCTGACCAATGACCTTGATGTCACAATAACTAGGTCACTCTTAAATATATCCATTCCAGGAACACGTAACACTGCTAGTAACCAGGCTAAGATTCTTGGATGCATAGAGTATAGATTTTCACTAGGTTATATGATATTTCACTGGAGATAAGTAAGGGAGTCACTCTGATGGGTCCCATGGGTAGGTCCCATGGCAAGAAACCGAGCTCTCTCTCTCTTACACACTGGGTATCCTCTGCTGAAAACCTCTTCCTTTGGTTAAAGAGAAATATTACTATTTCCACCAATATCTCACACTGCAAAGCATTATATAAATTTGTTTAGTACAGATCAATCACTCACATGG